CTACATAGTAAGAACCTGTCTCAAAAAAAAAAAAAAAAAAAAAAAAAAAAAAAAAATTGGGCTGGAACAGAGCATATGCATAGCATCGGTAAAGTCTTGGGTTCAATCCTGACTGACAAAAACAGGAAAACTGAAGTTAAAACTGAAGTGATTGATTGTATCCCCATCTCTATCATTGTTCAGTTTGGTTTGTTACTATTTAAGAACAAAAGCAAATTATGAATCTCCTTTAAAAAGGTAAGCATTCTTACCTCCTGTGTAGCTTTCTGGTAGTTTAGCTGACATTTCCATGTTTTCATCAAGGAGGACTAAGCATTGCCTTTGATTAAGTCAGAGAGTCTCAGTGAGTCCTCCTAGGTACCCTTTACTGAAGAAGAGTAAATGCAGAGAGAAATTGGGCCCACAAATAAAGAAAGGAAGAAAGAAAGGGAATAAAAATATCTGTGCTTCCTTCTGTAGCCTTATTTTTTTTAACCTGGATGTGTATATTGTATTTTATAACATAAATCTGTCATAACATATTTTAATTAATTAATTAATTAAAAATAGTCTGTCCTCAACTCTAGAAACACTGAACTGATCACGCTCAAAATGTACTTACAAATATGTATGTACATACACCCGTAATGAAACTATGTCCACATGTGGTTCTGTCCCAGTGTCATGACACACTTCCTAACATTTAAAATGAGACACACACACACACACACACACACACACACACACAAAAGGAACTCAGAGGACGGTGTGACAGTCTGTGCCTGCAATCCCAGTATTCCAGAGGGTGAGGCTGGAAAGCACATTTGAAGGCAGCTTGAGCATCCCTTGGTGTTTTTTTAAAAGGAATTTGAGTCTGGGCTTCCTACCTGTGGCCTAATTCCAGCCTCTGCTCAGCAGGAGTTCTCCAATTCTACAGTCTGCCTTCCTTTATCCCCACCACCCCAGCTTCATTCGCTGCCACCTCTCTGCACCCCACACAGCCACCTTCTCTCCCACTCAACTCATTTCCTCTTTTCACCATGGACTTACAGGACCTTTCCAGAGAACTACTCATCCCCCGCCCCCACCCCTCCCCTGCCACCCTCTAGTTCCAGGAGCAAAAGTGAAAAGGAGGCTGGGTGCAGAGCGAGGGGAAGGAGCCATAATGGACCAACTATGAGGATGTTCTGGGCAAGAGAGAGGAACATCTCTAAACAGTCCGGTGTTAATTATTTGTATCCTGGGACACCAGCATAGGAATATTTTGTCCCATGCTCTGTACTGATGACAGGTTAACATATCATTTTGTTCGCATGTCACTGGAAGTTTGGGAGATAATTCAATATTCCACCTACCACCATCAAGCATTATGTTAATAGTGGTAAGATATATTTTAATCCAAATCTGAATTTTTGTTTCAATTGTAATATCTTGAAAACAAGCTTTGGAGTCCATGTAAAATTGTAAATACCCATTTTGTTTTTCTGATCGCATGCTGTACGGAAAATTAGGAAATCACTGAGATAAATACCATTTTTATATCACAGTCTTTGTGTGTGTGAACCCATGAACTTCTGTGACAAATAATGGTTGGCCTTCCATAGTGTCACTTGAAAAGAAATCATTATCTATATGCTAAGCAACTAAAACATCCAAAATGGATATTGTGAAAAATAGGCATTGGACTTTTCTTCTGAATTATTTTAGCTCAGTGTCCACCTTGAAGAGATTGTATCTTACCATGCAATCAACTGAACCAATGTTATTGCTGATTTCTTAAACTGTTACAAGCATTGTGAGTCTTTCTTTGGTGTCCTATATTTTTAAGTTTATTTATTTTATGTATATGACTACTCTATCTGCATGTATGAGTTTATGCTAGAAGAGGGCATGAGATCCCACTATAGATGGTTGAGGGTTACCATATGGTACTGGGAATTGAACTCAGGACCTCAGGAAGAGCAGCCAGTGTTCTTAATCGCTGAGCCATCCCTCCAGTCCCCTTTGGTGTCCTATCATACAAAGTATTTGTGATGGATGAAGAACACTTAGTTATGTTTGTTTGACAAATGTGTATATCATGTACCTTCTATAGAAAAGGCTCTGGAGTAGGTGCTGGCCACAGAAGATCACAAAAAGATGGTAGGCAAAGATCAAAAAAAAAAATCTATGAATTTGATAAATCATCTCTACAAATACTAGCATTGGTGAACACTATAGTCTCAGAACTTGGGAAGGTTTGCAATTCAGAGCCACCCTGGACTGTACAAACACACTGCCAGGCAGAAATTCTTCAGTGTCCCTAGGGATATTCAGAAGGTGTTCAGGGAGTCTTAAGAAGAAAGGAGTGACTTAGAAGTGGGAGGTTCAAAGAAAGCATCCAGGAGAAGGGGCAGTTGATCTTGACATTGATGAATGTGTCGTATTTGGGTGTGTAGATTGTGCAAAGGATTTTGCAGGGGAGAATCTTAAAATCAGAAACTATTCAGATATGTGATGGTGTGATTTGGTTCCGTGTGAGGGGAAAGGAGAGGATTTGGCAGCTGAAAGTACAACTAGGATCTTCTTAACACGTTACAGATATTCCAAAAAGGGCAGGGGTTCAGGCATGAACAAGCGGGTATGTGAGAGTCTAGGTTATTGGAGAACTGAGAAAAACAGGTTAGGCAGAAGGATAGTCTGAGCAGTGTCCTGAACACATTGTGAGGGCTATGGTGGCCAGGGTGTATGGGAAGCATCACAGACTGTGAGATGAGGAAGAAGGAAGGATGGGGACATATCCTGACAGCAGCTGTAGCTAAGCCAGGGAGTTGGTGCTTAACCCACAGACAAGAAGAGCAGCTTTCTGAGAAGGGTAACTCAGGAAGGAGGAGCATGGCTATAGGCTCAGCAGACTTCCGAAATACACAGCTGTCGCAAAGATTTCAGACTCTGTGAACTACTTAGTCTATTAGCAGCCCCCCCCCAAATCTTTCCTCTATGTCTCCTACCCTCCCTCCCTCCCTCTCTCCCTACTCCTCCTTCTCCTTCCCCTCCATCTCTTTCTCTTCCCTCCTCCTCTCTCCATGACCTTCCCTTTCCCCTTCTATCCCTCTCTTCCCTTCCTCGTATCTTTCCTCTTCCTTCTGTCTCCTTCCTTCTTTCTTGTTTTCTTTCTGAGACAGGTTCTCAGGTAGCCCATGCTGGCCTCAAACTCATTATGCAGGGGAAAGTGACCTTGAATTCCTAATTCTCCTGACTCCACCTCTCAAATGACTTCCTCCTTTTTATACCTTTTTAAAAGTATAGGGAACCATTCTTCCTCCTGGCCACACGAAAACAGGCCTTAGCCTGCCTTTGGTGCTCTGTCTGTATATGTAGTACATGTAGTCCTTGGGACTTGAGTGGGTCTGGACTGGGGCTGGTGGAAAGAGATAGTGATGAGGGAATGGATAAGTCCCTGAAGCAGATCCCCTCAGTGGCTGGATGTGGGAGATTAGAAAGAAGGGATAGAACAGACATGATTCAAGGCTTCTGGCTTACAGACTAAGTGTCTGTGCTAGTGTCACCTCACACCAAGATGAGGGAAGAGTTGAGAGAAGAAGCTGTAATGGTTTTGGAGCTGCAGAGTCCAGTGTACGTACATACCATCTAGAAGGGTGCCTGCAGCCAGGTTGCTCTTTGGGCCTCCTACCCCATTCCATCCACAACACAGGGAGCCTCTGAGGGAATGGACACAAATGTTGGGTGTCCCAAGAGGCTATAGGACAGTGGAGAAATGGTACATAAGCATCAGGATGTTAGATGTTTGGAGAGTCTGGTTTCTTGGGTGACACTCTTCCTCCGCCTAGGCGAAAGGAAAGCAGAAGTCTCATAGTGGTGAGCATCTGTCACAATATGGAGCTGAACAGAAAAAACAAGACAGCAGAAGGGAAAATATAATGGGGCAGAATTATGAGTCTTAGCACTGTTCAGATGAGAGAAGACAGAATTCTGGCAGTGGGGCACTCAGGAGGCAGAGGCAGGTAGATCTCTGTGAGTTTGAGGCCAGCCTGGTCTACAGAGCGAGTTCCAGGACAGCCAGAGCTACACAGAGAAACCCTGTCTCAAGAAACAGAGAGATACAGAGACAGAGAAGGAGACAGACAGAGAAAGACACACAGAGTCAGAGACAGATACACAGACACACACACACACACAGAGGGGGCAGAGTGCCTTTGAGTGCATCGTCCTCCGTTCCTGTGTTACAGGTGTGGTGGCCATTTGACCTCTCACTGGTTCTTTTTTTGCTCAGTGACACAGATGTTCTCCATCACATGTGATTTGAAAATAACCCTTTATAATGACTCTATGACTTCCATATGGTGCTGTGATCGCTGAGGCATTTGAAGGATGCTTTCTGTCGTATGAAGAGTTTGTCCTGGAGTTGTCAGACAGTAACTTTATGCTTCAGCTGGAGGTCAGATGATGACTGGATTACTCTTAGAGCATGCAGTACCAATGCTTTCCTATTCTTCCAGTTTCTGCAGAATAGCTAATTGCAGTGTAGGGGAGGGCAGCTATGTCCCGCCTGCAAAACACTCGGTACCTTCTCCATGAACAGGTCCAAGAAAATGTAGAGGAAAAAAATAGGCGCACATTTGATGAAAGAGTTGGAAAAATGACTGTAAGGTTCTGGAAGGTAGGCGCATCTTTGAAATTGTTTATAAGCCTAGGCAGATCTCAACCAAGATCACTTGCACGTTTCTGGCCTTACCATCACTCTGCCCTGTTAGATCTGAAGTCTCCTATTTTACCTGGTCTCTTAAAAAGTCTGAGTTCATTGAGATGTGGTGACTGTTTGCATCTGTCTTCCCAGTGTGTGTGAAGAACACACACATTGCCTCTGTCCATACTGCCCACCTCATGCTAACACTCAGGATGCTTGGTGGTTACAATAGAAAGGGCACAAACCACTTTTTTTTTCTGTCTGTTTGGCAATTAACCATTCACTGGCTTTTTTTGTTGTAACATGCACTTCCTTTCTCTTGTTTTCATTAAAGCTATATACGCCATGGAAATTAATGTGGAGAAAGACAAACAGACAGGAGAGACCAAGATTCTCTCTGCATCCACCATTGGCCCAGAGGGGGTCCATCAGAGAGGAGTCAAAGTCTATGATGATGGTACCAAAGTAGTGTATGAGGTGCACTCAGGAGGCACCGTGGTAGAAAACGGAGTCCACAAACTAAGCGCAAAGGATGTGGAAGAACTAATTCAGAAGGCTGGACAATCAAGCTTCAGGGGACACATGTCGGAAAGGACTGTTATTGCAGATGGGAGCCTGGGCCACCCCAAAGAACACATGCTCTGCAAAGAAGCCAAGTTAGAAATGGTGCAAAAGTCTAGGAAAGATCACGCTTCGGGAAACCCCGGGCAGCAGGCCCAGCCCTCCAGCACGGAAGGGCCAGAGGCAAACCTGGATCAACCCGTCACCATGATTTTTATGGGCTACCAAAACATCGAAGATGAAGAGGAGACTAAAAAGGTGCTAGGCTACGACGAAACCATCAAGGCCGAATTAGTCCTGATCGATGAAGACGATGAGAAGTCCCTAAGAGAGAAGACAGTGACAGACGTGTCCACAATCGATGGAAACGCAGCTGAGCTGGTGTCTGGGAGACCCATGTCGGACACCACAGAACCCTCATCCCCAGAAGGCAAGGAAGAGAGCCTGGCCACAGAACCGGCCCCAGGTACCCAAAAGAAAAAGCGCTGTCAATGCTGTGTTGTCATGTGACCACTTCTTTCTCCTCCCCTTTCTTCCGGGCAGCCTCTCTACTCTCCACCTCTTAAATAGACCTCACTGTACCACTAACTGAGATACTGTGAACTGGAAGCAAACACCTGTCTTGCCTCGCAGCTGGATTTGCTTTGATCTCTCACTCACATCTTTCCTTCTCACTTGGGAAACAACGTGCATGTGTGTGCTTCAGTTTTTCTCCCCAAGAACTTACTTTTTCCTCTAAACCTTTCCTTGTGTCTTCAAGAGTGAATCGGTGCCGTACTGCTCGATTGGAGTGGACTCTTCATAGCAACTGGTTATCTAGTAGCCTTAATTGACTTGACTGGACTCAAACCCATTGGCACCGGGGCTTTTCATTTTTGCTCGTGTTCCTCTAACAGACACACATACACAGAACACACACACTGCCGTGCCCCTGGCTTCTCGCCTGCCTCTTTTGCTGTGTGGGTCTTTGTTTTGTTTAGTTTTTTTTTTTTTTTTTTAAATATCTTGTGTAGCAAAATGCTGTGAGCTCTAGCCGGTTGCTAGCATAGCCGAAAGTGGACCTACCTACCTACCTTAATCTGGCTGTTCTAGGGTGACATGTTTTCTTTGCTGCCTTACATACGCTTCCAGATTACAGTATTATACTTTCCTTCTGTTAAAACCCATACGAAGTTGACTGGAAAGCAAAGAACCCAGCGCCTGCCCCAGCTGAAGTGTAGGGACTGATACATCACCTGCCAGTCAGCAGCTTTCTCTTTCTATGGCTTACCCAGTGAACGCTTTCTACAGGACTTTCCAAGGACCTCCGGCCACCATTGTTTTTAGCATCTGTAGTGCTCGCCAACCCATAAGCCTTGTTTCCATGCTCCCCCAAAATGTAAAATTTTATATTGTTTTCTTTTTCATGGATATTTTCTGATTGAATTCAGCTATTTTCAAAAAGGGGATCATTTCGAGAAGTCTCTCTACAGTGACCATATTTCTTAAAACAGTTTTTCTGACCTACGGGGGGGCTGTCATTGCACCCCTACTGTATCCAGGATGGTGCTGTACGAATTAGCTGTCCATCTCCTGTGCCCGGTTGATTAGTCTCATATCTGTGCTTTTTTTAAACTTTTTTTTTTTTTTTAAAGATCCCCATGGGTAAGAGGATGTTTCAGGTAACCTCAATGTGTAGTTCTCTCCACTCTTATAAAAAAAAAAAAAAAAAAAATCCGGGCAGTGGTGGTACATAAGATGGATCTCTGTGAGTTCGAGGTCAGCCTGTTCTACAGATCAAGTTCCAGGACAGCCAGGGCTACACAGAGATACCATATCTCAACAAAAATCAAACAGACAAAAGTTTTTCAATGTAAAAAAAAAATGTTGAAAGATGAAGAGAGATCATAAATATTTCCACATGGTCTGACTGATTGTCACATTCTGGGTTTTCTCAAAGCTTCCTTTCTTCAATTTCTGGAAATTCTAGAATACTGTGATTTTTTTTTAACCTAAAACATGATGAACAGCCCTTGAAATACATTGTTAGTATTGCCCCAACCTGGATAGCCACATGATATGTGAAACCAAAGGGAAGGAATTTAGAAAAAGAACTCTAATACAGGAATGAAATGGTGATGTGTTAACTGATTTTAATGAGAGATAACTTTGTTTACCCAGACATTCATAATATCATCACAAATCAATACCAGAATCACATGTATTCCCATGGAATATAGCCTCAAAAACCATACGCTTGACCTGCCACATCGAGCCTCAACATGTCTGAAAGGCAGCTCATAATAATAATAATAATAATAATAATAATAATAATAATAATAATAAAGAACCCTGGAGAATTGCAGTACAGAGTCAACTAAATTTGTCCCCTTTAGCTTGTTTGAGGATGAATCTGTTATTTTGTTCATTTCTTCCCTTAAAGTTAGAGATTAATTACAATTAGAGAGAAATGACATTTTTATTTCTGTTTTTTTTCCTCAAGTAGTTTCACTTTCATTGAGTACATGAGTCATTTTTAATCTTTAACATGTAAACAAGAAAAATTAAAGAAAGGAATAGCAAAGAGGTAGACTACATTTCTCAGATTGTCCCCTCCGTGGTCTCCTTGAGAGATCTGGGGAATTATCTCTAGGGCTGGGCTTCACGTGGAACCCTGGTTCCAGCAGCAGCCACCCTTATTGCTGTCAGCTTCTTTTTCCTCCACAGGTGGTTAAAATAGCACACAATCCTTGAAAGAAAACAAACAAACCTCCTGTGGTTTCCACAGAAGGCGAAACTGGTTCCCATGGTTTTAGACAATCTGTCATTTTAAGAATTCGTTTGGGAAGTACAAAATCCAAAAGTTTACTATCTCTTTTTTCTGCCCTGGGGATCTGGACTGCTCAATGTGAGGTTTCAAAAGCACAGTGATGGAGTGGATGGAAGAGCTCAGATAACCCCCCTCCCCCTTGATGTTTGGAGCTCCTAGGACATATTGCCCCTGTCCTCCTTAAGAGGATTACTTATCTATGAGGACAACAGTCTGTACCTCCCCCTTGTCATAAGACCTTGAGGACCAAGGGTAACCTGCCCTCATCTGTCGGTCTTCATTATTATGAGCAAGTGACTGGCAAACTCTGAGTTAGGATTTGCTCTAAAGTTTTGCTTTTAAAGAATAGCATTTAATTGAAGTAAGACATATTGCCCTTATTAAAATTATTTGTGGCTTCAGTAAATGAATGATGTTTGCATACTATTCCAGTCTCTGTGGGGGATTCAGGTTCAGCAAATCCTCCATCAGCCCATCTACAGGATCAAGTTATGGCCTTGATGGTGAAAGTGTAAGCAGGATTGTCATTGTGACTCTGTCTTTCCTGTGACTATTGACAGTCTCTCTCTCTCTCTCTCTCTCTCTCTCTCTCTCTCTCTCTCTCTCTCTCTCTCTCTCTCTGTGTGTGTGTGTGTGTGTGTGTGTGTGTGTGTGGTAGTACCCCTTCTAGAAGCAAGGTATGCGGTTATGTTGTTGCATAACTAGAGTAAAACAATTCATGATAAAGCTGCAAAACCACAGTCTTATTTTGAGCTAATGTCGGACTGTTTATTAAAATTTCCACCCAATGTAATGGAGCGCATCTTTCTTCCCAGCATTAGAGAGGCAGAGGCAGGCAGATCCCTGTGAGTCTGAAGCCAGCTTGGTCTATATAGTATGTCCAGACTAACCAGGGTTACATAGTGAGACTCTGCCTAAAAATCAAAAATCAACAACGAAAAAGCAAGACAAAAATGTAAGATACATATATATGTGCATATATATATATATACTTATTGTACAATCTGTTCCCTCTTAAATAAGAGACAAAAGAAGGAAGAAAGGGATATTTATTTTAATTTCAATGGTATTTAATTAGATTCTTTGACAGTTACAATGGCCAAGTCTAGCCCTACATATCTAAAGAATCTTCATGATTTGAATAATCTTGACATTTTTCCCCCCTTAGGGGATTCTTTTTTAACTTTTTACCCATAATTGTATTATTTTCCTTATGTAACAACAGGAACCAAATTGCTTCTAAGATGACTGGCTAGCGTCCGATGAGTCCATTCATCATTGGCAGTGTCCAGGAAAGAGCCAAAAGTTTCCTTCTGTATTGAGATTTATATATATATATAAAAGGAAATGTGTATATAGAGAGCTTCCGAGGGATACGGTATCATCTCTGGGACAAAACTCTGGAGCCAAAGTCCTTTGCTTCCTGAAGAAGTTTCTGTCCAGGAACCACAGAACACTCTTAAAAACAATACATCACTTAATACCAGAACCGATGGGTATGAGAAAAGCAGAGGACAGAGCTTGGTGATGGAGGCAAGATGTCGAGTGTTTGCCTGAACCTAGCTGCTCAGTGAGCCCTGTCCATCTGAGGCGTGAATGAGGTGGAATGTGCTCTGGGAGCACATTTTATTGGCATTGTTCTCACTGAAAACCTAACTCTGCGTTACCTGTCTTGGTGGCTGTCCCACTGGAGAGTTTAACTCACTAGCATGCTCTTCCCTGGCAGATGCACCCTCATCCCCTGTAGTGTCAGTTTACAGTTTAAACCATTCCAAGGTGAACAGTTTCATATTGTATTTTTGTAATACCTACATTTATAACTGAATCCATGAATTCCCAGCGTTTTAAAGAGATAGGTTTCAACAACTTTATAAATATGCAACTATTTGAGAACTCAACGGTCTCTTAATCAAGGTATATTGATTAGGAGAGACTAGGAAAGCATCCTTTGTTCTACTGGGTTAGTGAACACTGCAGGGGCTTTGACACTATCAGTACACAAAAAACAGCTCAAAACAAGGAGAAACACCAGGTATTAGGTTCTTGCTGGTGGTTCATCTTCATAGCCTAGCCTTCTTTAAGACTTACCAGGAAAACCTACCTGCATTTTATAGGGAAGCCTCAGCAAACTTCTCAAATCCCACTTCACTAACACCCCAAATGCTGCTTGTCTGGGTGCAGAGTGGTATAAAGATTACATCCTGAAATGTTTGAAAGAAAATTACACTGGTGATCCTCTGGCTAGCGCCCTCAACTTCATTCTTATACAATTTTAAGAGGTCTATGATTCTCTTCCCCACTCCCGACTAACACCAGAGGGTCAGAACTGCCACACAAAAACCTAGCTGTCAATGTAAAAATACATAACTGAGGGACCACAGACTTTCTGCATCAAAGATCTGGATGGCCTTAACTCTGTAGTAATAATAACAATAGTAACAGTAAGTTTTCACTGTTTTCTCTTACTAAGCAGGAAAACGAAATGTCTCCTGTTGTCAATGACTTCTTTTTATATTTTGTGACTATTTCTAAGTTTCTACAGGCTGGGTTGTGAATGGTCATCTCTTCCCGTATTGCCTCTAAATGGTCACCTGGGGTGCTTTTTTTTTTTTTTTTTTAATCTAAAGAAAAGCATCTTTTTCACCAACCATAAAATT